TTAATTTTATTTATTGTTTATTTCACTTTTGTTTACTATCTACTTCACTTGCTTTGGCAATGTTAACACACGTTTCCCATGCCAATAAAGCCCTTAAATTGAAATTAAATTGAAATTGAGAGAGAGACAAAAAGAAAGAGGGGGAAAATAAACTATAGGGTTTGGGCTGTGTTGTGCCCAAAGCTCACAAAAGCAACATCACACACCACACAAACCATGTGATCTCTAGTCACAATCTTTCTCACCAGCTGTGTATTTTCAAATCACACCCCATCACACATATTAGGATTCGACATTTGGGAGGAAGAAGCAATTTTGCCTGAAATGTGTCAATTCTACTGTGCCTAGGTTTGTAAAGCTACCAGGAATTTACCAAAATTAACAGAACATTCATTTTGGTAATTAACATGCAATCTGTGGCAATCTATTGTAACGTTGGTCATTTATACTTGAATAACTTTTTTTAAATGTATTCATACTGTATATATATATTTGTTTTATATCTGTGTCCATATTGTCCATGAGTTTCTTGTGGATAGACCATATTGTTCAAGAGAAAATAGCCTAATTAAGGAAAAAAGCATATAATCAACAATGGCATTATTTTCAATTAACTCAGCAACTCTTCTAAATATTTACTTTTTTCACAACTGCCACCAGTTTCGCACCAAAACATTAACAACAAAGACATATTGACATGGTAAAAAAATATATAAAGGATATTTATTAATGCTGAAACCCTTATATTAAACAGCAGTGGTATTCACTTAGTTGAGGGTTTATATCTAGGATAATGTTTTACTGCTTTGTCATTCTATTTTTTTTGTGAAAATCATCTATACTTGTCACGACTTCCGCCGAGGATGCCTCCCCTTGTTCAGGCAGGTTTTGGCGTTCGTTGTCACCGGCTTACTAGCTACTGCCGATCCCATACTCATCACTCCACTTGTCATGTCTTGTCTTGTCAATCACACACACCTGGTGCTCATTCCCCTAATTAGTATGTGTATAAGTGTTCCCTCTGTTCCCCTTGTCTTTGTGAGTGATTATTTATTGTGAGAGTGAGTAGCTCGGTTGAGCTACTCTTCTATTTGTACTTGCCAAGGTGGATTATTTTCCCTTGTATTAGTTTCGTTTTCATGCTGGGTGCGTTTGATTTATGTAAATGGAATAAACTCTGTACTTCGGTGTTTTACCTCCTGCGCCTGACTCCTTCATTCACACCTCATCACAATACTGAAGAAAAATATAAAAGCAACATGTAAAGTGTTGATTCCATGTTTCATGAGCTGAGCTGGTCCTCTGTAGCTCAGCTGGTAGAGCACGGCGCTTGTAATGCCAAGGTAGTGGGTTCGATCCCCGGGACCACCCATACACAAAAATGTATGCACGCATGACTGTAAGTCGCTTTGGATAAAAGCGTCTGCTAAATGGCATATTATTATTATATCATAAATAAAAGATCCCAGAAATTTTCCAGATGGACAAAAAGCTTATTTCTCTCCAATTTTGGGCAGAAATTTGTTTACATCCCTGTTAGTGAACATTTCTCCTTTGCCAAGATAATCCATCCACCTAACAGGTGTGGCATATCAAGAAGCTGATTAAACAACATGATCATTACACAGGTGCACCTTGAGATGGGGACAATAAAAGGCCACTCTAAAATGTGCAGTTTTGTCACACAACACAATGCCACAGAAGTGTCAGGTTTTGAGGGAGCATGCAATTGGCATGCTGACTGCCGGAATGTCCATCAGAGCTGTTGCCAGATAATTTAATGTTAATTTCTCTACCATAAGCCGCCTCCAACGTTGTTTTAGAGAATTTGGCAGTACTTCCAACCGGCCTCACAACCGCAGACCATGTGTAACCATGCCAGCCCAGGACCTCCACATCCGGCTTCTTCACCTGCGGGATCGTCTGAGACCAGCCACCAGACAGCTGATGAAACTGAGGAGTATTTATGTCTGTAATAAAGTGGGTGGGCCTGACTCCCAAGTATGTCTCCCCAGTGGGTTGGCCTGACTCCCAAGTGGGTGGGCCTATGCCCTCCCAGGCCCACCCATGGCTGCGTCCCTGCCCAGTCATGTGAAATCCATAGATTAGGGCCTAATTCATTTATTTCAATTGACTGATTTCCTTATATGAACTGCAACTCAGTAAAATGTTTGAAATTGTTGCATGTTGCGTTTGTATTTTTGTTCAGTATAATTTTATTATTTTATATATTTTACATGTGATAAGGCCACACAGAGGGCCATGGATAATTACAGACACTTATGATAATCTGAAGTACCCAAAAGGGCCACTAGATGTCTTGTGATAAATTACATAAAATCCTTGAAAGTTACCAAAATTATGGTAGTTTACTGGTAGTTTACTTTCCCACCATTCTGCATACCTTTCCCACCATTCTACTGTGCTGTGATACGAGGAGAGGCCGAGGTGTTAAGCCAATAGCGTGAGATGTGGGCCAGTGCATTCCGCCGCTCTGGGGAGGTTAATGAGCATAGCCTCCGGGCACTTGGCCAAACACGAGCCATTAATGCTGCTAGTGCTAACATGCTGCTAGTGCTAACACTACTGCTAGCTAACGCTCCCACAATGTGCCTGACATCAGCTATGAACTTAGCTAATAATACACCCAGAGAGAGGGAGAGGGAGAGGGAGAGGGAGAGGGAGGGAGGGAGGGAGAGAGAGAGAGAGAGAGAGAGGAGAGAGAGAGGAGAGAGAGAGAGAGAGAGAGAGAGAGAGAGAGAGAGAGAGAGAGAGAGAGAGAGAGGAGAGAGAGAGACAGACAGACAGACAGACAGACAGACAGACAGACAGACAGACAGACAGACAGACAGACAGACAGACAGACAGACAGACAGACAGACAGACAGACAGACAGACAGACAGACAGACAGACGGAGGAGGGGTTAGAGAGATCAAGCAAGCTAGAGCGAGAGAGAGAGGGAGAGCGTAAGAGCATAGAAGAGTTAAGAGCAAACAGTGTGAGACAAGGTGGAGAGAAAGGAACATAGTGAAGACAGTGAGTCAGAGACAGAGAGAGAGGGAGAGAGAGAGAAAGAGAAAGAGAGAGAGAGAGAGAGGGGGTGAAAAGATAGGTAGAGCGAGAGAGAGAAAGGGAGAGAGAGGGAGGAGGGGAAAAGAGAAAGAGAGGCTAACAGTATCAAAGCTGTATGTCGCTATGTGCTTTACTGCTAACTGATCTAATGAGCACTCACTCTGTTACTCACCACGCAAAAACACCCAGAGAGGTAAGTAACCAGAACGCTTCCTAGCCTCCGAGTGTGTGTGTGTGTGTGTGTGTGTGTGTGTGTGTGTTTGTGAGACAGACAGAGAGATAGTTAGAAGAGAGTTGGATAAAATATGTATAGACAATGGTTGTTTGAAGGTGTGCTGTATTGCGGGACTATGTGATAGAGTTGAACTTATAAAAGTCAGTGAATGTGAGGAGATACAACATGCATGTGTGGATTGTACATGGTATAGCAGTCTGTGTGTCCAGTACATGGTATAGCAGTCTGTGTGTCCAGTACATGGTTTATGGTATAGCAGTCTGTGTGTCCAGTACACAGTTTATGTGTCCAGTACATGGTTTATGGTATAGCAGTCTGTGTGTCCAGTACATTGTTTATGGTATAGCAGTCTGTGTGTCCAGTACATGGTTTATGGTATAGCAGTCTGTGTGGCCAGTACACTGTTTATGGTATAGCAGTCTGTGTGTCCAGTACACAGTTTATGGTATAGCAGTCTGTGTGTCCAGCACATGGTTTATGGTATACATTTTAGTCATTTAGCAGATGCTCTTATCCAGAGCGACTTACAGTTAGTGAGTGCATACATTTTTCATACTGGCCCCCCCGTGGGAAACGAACCCACAACCCTGGCGTTGCAAGCGCCATGCTCTACCAACTGAGCTACACGGGGCTTATAGCAGTCTGTGTGTCCAGTACATGGTTTATGGTATAGTAGTCTGTGGGTGTTTCTCAAAATGCATACTACCGTGCTTCGAGCATGCAAATTGGAGCACGGGAGGGTAGTCCAAATCAAAGTATGCGAAACGGAGCACGGAGGGCACTTCTCAAATGCGTACTCCGTTTGTACATATTTTGAAGCATGCATCAATGCAAGCTTCAACAAAAAATATGGAAATTAATATGACGCAACCACGTAAAAATCATGCAAATCTTCTTGAAATCAATGGTTGCCATTATCTGA